TGCAGTCTGAACACTCAGTGTGGAACTGATTTAACAGCAGACTTCATAACCATGCTACCACCTGGCCAAATGTTATGACTTCTCCAACATCCTGCCTAATGAAGAGTTATGCGAAGCTTGCAATCTTTCATAGGAATTTAGATGGTCCTCACAAAGACCTGTCTATGATCTGGTTTTATTCACATTGACTAATACAGCTTTGTTAATGTCTTATTCATAGCACCTCAATTGCTACTTGCATTTGTAAATGGAACACAACCTTGTGCTGGAGGGCTGTGCCCCATTCTGTTTGCTGGCTTGTTTCTTTTATAAGCAACCTTTCTGCTGATAAGGGAACCCAAGCCAACTCACAATATTAAAATGAATAAAAAAACAAGAAGTTCAACATTACAAAACAATCAAACCGTACACTAACTGAAATACAATTGAATAATTAAAAGAAAGCAAACATTGAAAACTGTATCAGCTTTAAAAAAAACATTCAGGGATTCAATCATGGTTGTCAAAAGCTTGCCTGAAAAGTTGGGTTTTCAATGTTAGCAAAAGGATAAAATGGAGGTGGCCAGCCGGATTTCATAACGTGAGAGGAACCACAGAGAAAGTCCTCATCAGCCATCCTTGCGCTGGCAAAGGAACTAAGAAAAGTCTCTCCTCTGATGGTCTTAAACACTAGGAAGGCTCATATGGCGGGATACGGTCCTTCAGGTAGCCTGGATCCAAGCGTTATGGGCCTTATAGATAATGACCAGCACTTTCATTTGAGCTTGGAATCAAACTGGTAGCCAGTGCAATTGTAACCGGGGCGTTGTATGCTACCTATAACTGGCCCCAGTCAGTCGTCCGGCTGATGAATTTTGAACCAGCTGAAGTTTCCGAACAATCTTCAAAGGCAGCCCCACATAGAGTGTGTTACAGTAATCCAAGCAGGATGTCACTAAGGCATGCATCACTGTAGCCAAATTAGACCTCAAGGAACCAGGAGCAACAAGACAACAGTTTTAACAGTGCAAAAGCACTCTTGTTCACTGCTGAAACCTGGGCATCCAGGAGTACACCTAAACAGAGTTTTCAGAGGGAGTGTAAGCCCATTACTGGTACCAGGCACTCTACTAAAACAACAACAACACAAAATAGTTTCCACAAGCCTGAAGTCTGCAATTCTGAAAATCCATGGTCCAACCATAATTGGAATACTATCTACCATTCTGGTTACCACATCTCAGAAGCAATACTGAAGCACTGAAAAAAGCATAGAACAGGGAAACCAAAATAACAAAGAGACATAGAGGTCAGCTAGACTGGAGTTTCTTGCGTTCTGTAGCCCCCATGCTGAAATGGTCAGAATTGCTCTAAAAAATGTCAACAACACAATATTTTTGTTAGTGCATTCCAATTCGTCCCTAAGGAAAACTAATCCCTCTCCTATCAGTCTAACATTGGAACCAACTGTTTATTTAGAATTATTGATTGGTCCAAATAAACACGGTTTTCTTCATGCATGATCACCAGTATCAATTTGACAATATCGTGAAGTAGCTTAATAAGCAAGACACTTCCAGGTAATGGCAAATTAATCATTTCCCCTGCTTGGCAAATGGCAGTGGAAGTGAACTCCCCCCCCCTTTTTTTTAGACTATGGCTGATGCATACGTCACATACCAAAAATAGAATATAATAGAATAGAATTGTTAAGTCTTGTCTGACTCTTCGTGACCCCATGGACCAGAGCACGCCAGGCCCTCCTGTCTTCCGCTGCCTCCCGGAGTTTGGTTAAATTCATGTTGGTCGCTTGGATGACACTCTCCAACCATCTCGTCCTCTGTCGTCCCATTCTCCTCTTGCCTTCGCACTTTCCCAACATCTGGGTCTTTTCCAGGGAAACTTCTCTTCTCATGAGATAGCCAAAGTATTGGAGCCTCAGCTTCAGGATCTGTCCTTCCAG